ATATTTTTTTTTTTAAATATTAATTTTTAATTTTTAAAGAAAATTATCCATAATTTTAAATTATGTCAAGATTCTGTTGCAAGAATTTTGGGAAACAGGAATCTAACAGGAATGTCTATCTAAACAAGAATATTAAATATTGAAGGTTGAAGATGATGTGAATGTCATGTATACTGGGACAAGTGTATTTGTGCCCCTCTGGTAGAATTCCGCTCTTGTTTCCTTAATCGTTGTGTTAAAGACATGGTTTAATAACTTCTCTTAGCTTGGGGGGGATCCAAATGTTCCCTTTGTTATCTTTCCCACCCCCACCAGACATCAATATTCAGAAAAATCATTTAGTCTTCTCAAGCAGTGATGATTTAACAATTAAAATGTTCAAGATTATGATGGTTCCGCCACCCCACAATACAGATTGGTGTGTTTGTTTATATGTAATAGTGCACATTTGGGACAGACTGAAAAACATAAATGAGCTAATTCTGTTTTTTTTTTTTTTTTTTTTTTTTTTTTTAATTTAACAACATTTTATACATGATCAACAGGTCATTGGCAAAGTAACAAAGTGATTAAATATTGCAAAGGCACAAAATGAAAGCACAACAATAAGACAAGAACACATAAATAATCTGTAGTCTAAAAAAATTACTGTGATCAACATTAAACCTGTTTTTGTTTTCCACCATGCATTCTCATATGATTGGCCAAGACAATGTTTCATGAACTGTTGTGATAAACTAAAAAAAAGGGGGCAATCATGAGCACCCATTTCAACTCTAAATTTATAGATGGACTCCTTAGATTTATGTAGACTTCACATAGACATGCAAAAGATGGCTAGAAGACCGCAAGTCCAAATCAAGTGCACTAATGAGTACATTTTCCCAAGGTCTAAACTTCTATAGACTCCTTGAATTTCCCAAAGGACTGCATTCTTCGTAAGATAAGACACAGAGGTGCATTTGCTTTATTGGAGTAGTCTTTAGCAGTGACGATTACGTTTGTGTGTCCATCTGACCTCATTTACTTTTAATCTACATTTCCCACAGGGCTCCATTCTTAGAGCAACAACATTTCCTTTGACCATGTTATTCATTAAGCTTTGCTACTTATTGATTATCTTTATCTTCAACACATTTCCCAGTGGTAGGTAAGGTTTATTGACCATAGTTTAACTACCTCAGAATCTTCAACCATATTTATAGAAGCAGTGCTGGTTGAGTACATATTTGTCCAGTATTCCTGCATTTATCAATTTATGATAATGGACAACATTCTGTATGTCTCACGACATGTTGCTTTCATGTTTAATTGCAAAACGAGTGACTTGAAAGTTTTAATTCAGCATGTCTTCATTTGTATGATTCAACACCTTAGTGTTGGCATGTTTTTGTGGATTTTTTTACATTCTTTATACATCCTAACCAGTTTAACTCTTAGAAGGAGGCTTACGTTGGCCACTCTTAGCTGTTTTCTTCTAACATTGGGATTCGCCTGCCACAGAAATGGAGCGGCTTGTTATCTGCTGAGACAGCTGTAATGATTTTTCGGCCGCATGTGCCCTATGTGGGTTTCAGGGAGATGGTGTGAGAGTGGATTGAATTTTAAGGCATGTCCTCTGGGCCATGAAGAGAGAGACACAGGCTTCATTGCACTTTGCAAGGCCAAATGAGGATGGCTGAATCCATGCACACTCACATACATGCACACTGAATCTATCTGTCACCAAATCCTACCACTAAGGGCCATTTCTGTCCCAGCCAGCTGACAGTTGGGCTCCTACCCACACACAGAGATCATACACAGAGGGTATTTGGGGAACACTGATATGCCTAAAATTACCATAATTATGTGAAACGAGTGAGCATATTTATTGTATTAATCAGACTACAGTACAATATAATGTCCACCACCTAATCCAGAGTAAAGGTTTACTTCCCAGAGGCTGCGCTTTCATAGCTTAGACTTAATTAACTTCTTGGTTATGCTTCATTTAAAGGAATGGTTAACCCAAAACTGAAAATTCTGTCATAGTGTACACAACGTGAATAACAGAATTTTTATTTTTAGGTGAGCCATCACTTTAACAAATGTTTCTCCTAAAATTAATTAGCAGAAATAAAAGTTTGATTTGATTTGATTCAGTTCATTTCAAAACACTTGTTCTCAATTCGCAAGGTCACATAGAGTAACATTGTATATGCTTCAAAACATAATGCAATAAATAAGAACATAATACTAATGGTCAGTGTCAAACAAGTGTCTTGCTTAATATGTAGAAGTTAAGTGAGTTGCTTAATATGTAGAAATTGTTAATCATCTTGAACCTCAGGAGGTCAAACTGTTGTACGAGTTTTGATCATTTTTATTTAGAATTGTGTGCACAATTTTCTAGCAAAAAATAAATATACAATGTGTATTAAATATAACACTTGATTTTTAAGTAATGTTGATATTAAAAGATACCAATGTGTACAATATTTGTGGAATATGCCTTTTCTGAAGTGCCTCTTCAATAAGTGCCTCCAATCATGAAAGGAGATATAAAATTCATGTAGTGACCACTGCTCAGATAATTTGGTATTGGAATGATTTGATGAGACATGTTTGAGTTCATATTGGCTGCACAGACCACACAGAAACTCGAGAATTAAGAAAAGGTCTCCATAGAATCTTCCTCCTGTCTTGGACAGACAATTCAGCAAGAGAACTCATTTGTCCTTCCTACTGGAATCGGGTGGTTGAAACCTGATGGTGGTTTTATTAGCTCTTAATAATTCTTTTGCCCTATTTCACCTACTTTGAAGATTTTCATGGAGTTAATCAAAAAGCTCATCCAAGGCACATAACCCAGGTGCAGCCACTTATGCTGAGCGCAGTTCTTGAACAGAAGAGCGGCATGCAATTTCCGCAACAATTTATGTAGACTTCAATTAGCACTCCATGAGTACTCTCCAATCCTTCTCGATTGTTTACACTCATGTTGGCAAAGTTCACAATGTTAAATAAATAGATGATTTAGAGTTTGGTGGTGGAGTGAAAACTGAATAATAGATATATAGCAATAGAAAGAAAACAGGTTGGAGCAAGATGTTAAAACTGATCCCCTTCTCACCAAATGACTAAACCTTAACTCCTGCTAAAATCTGTCTCAGGTGATCGGATCACAAGTGGCCATCACAAAGATTGGATATTGCATTTGTGGCATAAACACGAACGCATCCTGATGTACAACATCAAAGGACTGTCCATCATTGCAACGGAACAATGGTTTTACATTTTACTAGCTAGGTGTGACTTTTAAAGCAACAGCCTGATAAAACACTGATTACAAGTGATTACTGGAGACTCATGTTAACACCATGTGTAAATGGCATTCTGTCTCTATTCCTCTCTGTAAATGGCTGACCACCTGCAATCAGACAGATGGATGTTAATACAGATGTTAATACAGGCAGATGTAATACTTATATAATAATCTTGCCTTTATCATATTTATCAAACCTTTAGCGAGGTTACACTTCCTCCACTGAGCCTAAAAAGTCTATAGGGAGGTATACATGTATGTATTAAACATATTAAAAACTTGTTTATAGAAACTGATTTATTCCATTTTAAGTGTACTTCCTTATTAATGTGCTGTCATGATGTTGAAAACTTGAAAGAACACTTTGCAAAAAACATACAGCACAACAATGTCATTGTTCAAATTCATTAAGTCACCTGAAATGTTTGCTTTATGTGTCTTTCCCCAGCACTCATGCATGCCGCGGTCTTCGGTAACGTGACGGCCATTATCCAGAGGATGTACTCGCGCCGCTCGCTCTATCACACTCGTACCAAAGACCTCAAAGACTTCATCCGCGTGCATCGACTGCCCAAGGCCCTCGCGCAGCGCATGCTGGAGTGCTTTCAGACGACATGGTCTGTCAACAATGGCATCGATGTCAGTGAGGTAGTACTTTTAAACTTTCATCAAAATAAGTTCACAATTTATCAATCATGCTCAAACTGTTGTACTGTAAGTGTGGACGCAGTTTTAGCTACTTTCAATTGAAAGCAGTTGGCAACACTGGCGGCTAACTGAAAGCGCTGCTTCTCTGCTGCTCACTGCACAGAACAGACGCCGAGAGAGGTGACACTTCTCCCTTTCACGCTTAGTAACACATACAGCTGTTCCCTCACCACAGTGCAACACCCCTTTCAAACAGTGTCGCGTTCCGAACTTTGTTTAAGTGACATATACCGGTATTGTGGTATTTTCAAAATTCATATCATAACAAAAATAAAAACCGGTATTCGGTAAGAACCGGTATACCGCCCAGCACTAATCCCTCTCATCTTTTATCATTTGATTTATTTTCTCTTTCCATTCTCTGTCTCATCCATAACTCTGTTCTGCTCATAAAAAAGAGATTCCATCTTACACTCACAATGTATTTAAAGAGCCCAATTCAAAACACTTGTTACACAACTCATAACCGTCTCTTTGCTTTGATATCAATATCATCTCCCATTAAAGTCTAAGTAGAAGACTCATCTACAGTTTTTTTTGCTGCAATTGTTTCCTTGAGGATCAACTGTAAATCAAAAGTTTTTATGCTTTTCAAGAATGAGAAGTAAAAGTAAGTGCTTCAAATAAAAGATCTCTTTGTCCTCTCCCAGCTTTTGAAGGACTTCCCAGATGAACTGCGGGCTGACATTGCTATGCACCTGAATAAAGAGCTGCTCCAGCTGCCTCTGTTTGAGTCGGCCAGTCGAGGGTGTCTGCGCTCTCTGTCGCTCATTATCAAAACCTCCTTCTGTGCTCCAGGAGAGTTCCTCATTCGCCAGGGTGACGCTCTGCAGGCCATCTACTTTGTCTGCTCAGGCTCCATGGAAGTGCTCAAGGACAACACTGTGCTGGCTATACTGGGTGAGATTACACACAAACAGTAGGGTTTAGGAGATCATTTATGATAATTGGGCCATTTTTTGCCAGTCATCTCAATTGCAAAATGCAAACACACACACACACACACACACACACACTCAGGTTTGTTTTTGTGAAAAGTGGGGACATCCCATAGGCGTAATGGAAGCTCAATGATGAAACAAAACCAGACGGAATTTTGGTCTAAATTGTGAGACAATTTACTCAAGAATGATTTTATGAAAAATCTAAGCAGAAATTTGTTCTAGTTTCATTAAAAAAATTATTGATTTAATAAAGGCACCAAATGTTATTTTGTACTTAAACTGTTGAACAAGAATTGTATATTGCATTCAAACATGTTTTAAACACTGCCAGGCAACAGATTCCATGCAATTCTATTAGTGGCACAAAAAATTCACACTTTTTTATTATTCAGGTAAAATATGTGCTGCTAACTGTGGAAAACTGAAAACAAAATGAAACAATTACATACAGACTCAAAGGTCATTGGTAACACTATACAGCTAGTGCAAATACATTTCTGCGTGTCAGTCATGCTGACTTATTCAATGGCTTCTGTATTACAATTTCACAGCAATTTCAAAGCCCGTTTAAATTCCTCCTACCTGTCACTATTAGTTGTGCTTCCTATGTGATATTGAGACAGGCCAATACAATAAAAACTGCCCACACATGCACACACACCATCCATTAATATCATTGTATAATTTATGACATAATTCAGACATTATAAATGAGCTAAATAATCGCTCTTTTAAACCACCTTAACACACACACACACTCACTTGCTCAGCGAATCTCATCCTCCCACTATCTGTAGTTCTTATTGTTTCGAGGGAGGATTCCCATATAATTTTCAAGTCTACTGAACAGTAACTATAGTAATTCACCAAAATTGGGTGAAATAGTCAATTTTAGTTGGATTAAACTTTTTTTATGTATTACTTTTGAATGAATGAAATTGAATATTTACAATGTACAGTATGATTCTCTCGCCTGGTCCAACAACTTGGAAGGATTTTTTTCACTGAGCTTTCTGCCTTCTCTGCCGAGGATACGTGCCTTTAAATTTGTCCAAATCAACATATCTTAGAAGGCAGCATAAGCATACTTTTCATCTTGCAATGATCCCTTAAAATGCTTTCTCAGTAGGCAGCTTTCTAGGACAATCAATCAATCAATCAATCAAAATAAAACAAGGAATTTATGTAATATTACTATGAACTGTACAGGCCCAACAGTATGCTAATTTATTAACACACAAAGCAGACAGGAGGCTCAACACAATACAAGTATAGTATAGTATAGTATAGTATAGTATAGTATAGTAATTCACCAAAATTGGGTGAAATAGTCAATTTTAGTTGGATTAAACTTTTTTTATGTATTACTTTTGAATGAATGAAATTGAATATTTACAATGTACAGTATGATTCTCTCGCCAGGTCCAACAACTTGGAAGGATTTTTTTCACTGAGCTTTCTGCCTTCTCTGCCGAGGATACGTGCCTTTAAATTTGTCCAAATCAACATATCTTAGAAGGCAGCATAAGCATACTTTTCATCTTGCAATGATCCCTTAAAATGCTTTCTCAGTAGGCAGCTTTCTAGGATTTTCACAACATCATCTGATACCTACAAATTCCTCGTTTTTACCATAGGCTATGTTGCTTTGGACCAGTTGACCAGAGCTGGTATAAATATGAAGCCTGCATTCTGACATTACCTTGTGCTTTCATGCAAGAAATATTAGCAATCCAGCTCACATGTACTTGAGTCTGTGTTTGCTATTCCATGCACCGTATCTGTCATTCCCACACTTACATTCACATTCCTAACACACTCTCCAGTCCTTGAAGAAAGATACGAAGAAAAATGTTGACATAAATATATACATAGAAATCTGATTCACATAGTAATAATTTTCAGGAAAATCTAGTGTAGCCACTCGAATTTGAGTCAAGCATGAGTTAACAATGAAATGTTTTCTGTTTAAATATTTTGGAAATGTGTGAATATCTCTCCATGCACTGCACTAGAAAAGGTCAGTGCTTTTTGGGGTATTGTAGAGCTTAATGAGCTCGGCAAGCAGCCCAGATGTGAAACCCAGTAGTATTCATGAGGATTCATGATTTTATGACCTATTGTGTCCTTCAGCGAGGCACTTAGCCTACTGGTTGCTGCAGTAACTGCCCTGTAAGTTACTTTTGATGACAAATAACAATATAATCCATGTAAATATCTTTTTTCTTCTGTGAATCACATGATCTTGTACAGTATTGTAAACCCTAATGATATCTGCTAGATAAATACTCAATGTTAATGGGGCAGAAATGCAATGCTACTTGTCACAATTTTCACTCAAGTGAATATTTCCTTATTTTTGAAAGGCATTTGTTGTATATATGCATATAAAGAGATATTGCGCATTGCATCTATTACTGCCCAGGAAAAAAACATAAGCTTAACACATGTTGGGCCCAAGTTAACCTGTCATAAATTTGACACCGATTTATATTTTAAATATTAATGAAATATAGCAAGATTATGAAACATCAAAACGTTAACACATTCTTGCTAAAATTGTGAAATGACATGAATTTTAATATAAATCAACAAATAAAAATATAGTTCTGAAAGTAGCCACAAAAGATACATACATTAGTAATAAATTGCCTTTACTGCTATCCCTAATGGCTTAATTTACATAGGACCGTTCTGTGTCATGCTGCTCTAATCAGTTCGCTTTACAAGCACATGGATGAAAACATACTAATAAACACATGCATAAAATAATATGAATAACATGGAGGGGAAAAAAAACAAGTAAATGGAAGAAAATTTTACAAAAACAAAAATTAAAAGAAAGCCCAGGCTTTTATTTCAAATGGAAATCATTGCCATAAACAGATTCTGTCTGTGGGTAATTTAATAAAAAAAATGCTCACCTGTCTGCTTCATCTGAAAGCATTCATTGGAGCTGTACACAACACAAAGACCTCCCAAAAACCTTGCTGTGAAGCTTCTAGAAGCAAGATAGTAGCAGGTGAAATGGCCTTCAGCTGTTAGTAAAAGGAATCTTGATAAGCTGCCGGGATAAGACAGCATCTTCTAACCTAAATGTGAATGATAGCTAAAATACATATTTACATATGCAGTTTTGTTTTGTTTGCTTTGCAGTGTTTAACAGCAATAGTTCACTCCAAAATGATTTTTTCTCATCATATACTCAACCTCGTTCTAAACCTGATGAAACAAAAAAGATATTTTGGGATAAGAATGGGATAAGGTTTTGTTTTGCAAATACATGAATATGTATTTTAGATTCAGAGACTGTACACAGAGTTTGTTGCTGCATTATACGAGTCTTAAAGTCCCTGTAAAGTCAATATTAAGTATGTGTTCTGAGTTTGTCACACCACAGAAAAAAGTATTATTAACCACCATAAAAAAATCCGCTAAGTACATAAAATAAGTTATCAATCTCTCTCGAAAAAATGGCCGGTATACTTTGCTCTCAAACGCTGGGGACGTGTCTGCTGTCTGCGCTGAAACCACACCCACTCACGGGAAAGCTGCTGCCTCTTAACTGTCAAATACCGCTACAGCCTGAATGGATGCTCCAAGCAGCTTAATTGGATTTACAAAGCCATACATATTGTTCCGGTGCGTCATCGACAGTTATTATAGTGTTAGGCGAGGGGCCATGATTTTAGCCCCGCCCAAAAAATCCTGAACACAGAATTGGTGAAAAACTGTTTAACGGTCTAACTCCACTATTCAGTACTACAGAATTCACAGTCTTTGTAATGTGTTTCGGCAATACATTTGTAACAATTATAATGCATTTAGAACCAATTCTCAGAATTGACTTTAATCTTTGGTCACACACACACACAGACACAGACAGACAGACAGACAGACAGAGGGAGAACCTCCTTCATTTCTTCATAATCCAAGGATTTTTTCATAATCCTTATCTAATGTGTTGCACCAGAGCATATGAGCCAGTTTGATGAACAAATACTGTCCTGTTTGAGATGTATCAATGCAGTGCTGTCACAGACATCATCCATATGCCTTTGAGGGTATTAGGACTGGATTTCAATGAATACATCTTCTCTCTCTGCCTCTTTGTGTTCTTTTGGTGCAGTCACATAGGACCCTCTTTGCCATGGCCTTTCCTTTCTGTCTGTGTCTTCTGTTTCTTTTTTCTTTTATTATATATATATATATATATTTTTTTTTTTTGGAAAACTGCAAGAAACAGCTTTAACCATAGATGGACTATGAAACCTGTGTTTTTTTCTCCTTTCATCTGAACGTGGAGCAGCTGTTCAACACACATCCACACATTCGTTTTCTTAGACCCGTCATATGAAAGCATGAGGAGCCAGACCTTATTAAAAACATTTGGGTGGAATATGGATAATGCATGCTATGATTTGTATAAAATTATACAATATCTAGAAGATAACGTATCCTTCATATATGACATTCATTTACAAGGCACTTTAAAAGCTTCTTCATACCAAAGGACAAAAAAAAATATTCATATGCTTACAGTTTTTCATCATAAACTATTTGTCGTATCTGAACCCCCTCTTGAACAGTGCCTACAGTTAATCTGGAAATAAAGGCTTTCAAAAGGTCACAGTAAACGATGAGCTAAAGCTCTCGCTGTGCTAAAGGTTCCTGTGTGTGTGTCTGTGGGTCTCTTTATCTCCAAATCCCCGGACTCTATTGCTCTGATCAAATCAAATATTGGTGTGCTGCTAGGCCACATCCACCTCTCTCTCACACACTTAATAATTGATGGTTAATGCATTATTAAAGTGCTTTGACTATTAATACTGGCTGACACATGAAGGCGAGAACCATAGATCTCCACACACATGGAAAATAATGTGGGAGGGAGTGAATCAAGGAATGGGGAAAAGAACATGCAGTACAGAGAAAATAAACACAAGACAGACAAAT